GTCTGGCATCGCCCGGCTGCCTGGCTGGGGGCAGCCACGTGTTGGACTGAGTGTTGGCCGTGGGGCCTTGTTCTTGTCCCGTCCTGCTTCCAGAATCCTGCCCTTGCTCTGGCCTCAGCGGCTCCCTGCGGTTCACGTTCCCCATCCTGCCTTGGCAGACCTGTCCAGCCTGGGCTGGCGGCCTCGGCTCCCACACCAGCACTTGTGGTTTCATTGGTGAGTCTGTAGTGCATGGTTATCTAAAGCCAGGACCCCGGACGGGCCAGATGAGTGACGCCCGCTGGTGTGTGCGCTGCGCGGGGCCCCGAGGCCCTGCCCTGGCTTGGAAAGACTTGGCTGCTGTGGGTTGGGGATGTGGGACAGGTCAGGGCCAGGCTCTGGGGCAGTCACCCCGATTCCCAGGCATCTCAAGCCCTCCGAGTTGGAGGGGACATGGCCCCCAAACCTGCATTTCAGTGCCTTTGTGTCCGTCAGAGCCCTCCCGTTGGGCTTCCTGTCACTCTGGCCTTGCTGTGTCGTTTCCACTGGGGCAGGGATGGGGCCAGGGTCACTCCTGGAGCCCTGATTCCTTGGCCTCTTGGGGTCTTGATGTGGGTGCGGTTTTGGGGGCCAGCACGTGTCAAAGTGGAGGCACCACCAATGAACTGAGCTCCAGCTCTATCTTTGAGATCCTAGAGGGCTTGTAGCTGTGAGGTCTCCACCCAGCGCCGCCGTCTGGGATAGGGCAGGATGGAGTGAGGGGAGGCGGAGGCGGCCAGGTCCTCCCACTGCCCCGACGCACCGGTGGCTCCTAGCACCATCCTGATTTCTGCTCAGTCACATACCCGCTTCCTGCACCCCCATCTCCCAAATTTGTCATCTCACCCAGACCAGATTTTCTGTGACCACAGCGTGTGAGCCCAGCGGTGGCCACGTCGGGGCAGCCTCTCCCGTGTGTGACCCTCTAGGGACCCGGGGCAGCTCTCAGATCAGCAAGGGAGGACCCCGTGCTGCGCCCTGGCAACGTTGGCGAGCTCTGCCCTCTGCTGGGTGGGCGTGATGGGGAACAAGCTCACCTCCTGCCGTGGGCAGGGCCAGCGGAGTCCCCGTCTGTGGGTGGCACCTCCTGCCCCAGCCTTGCTAGGTCTCTGCTCCCTGTGCCTCAGTTTCCTCTCCTCAAGGAGGATCTCCCTAAAGCAAACACTGTGGACTGCCATGGGCCACCAGCCTGGTCATGGCCCTCTGAGGGCCTGTGAAGCCAGGCCTATTACCTTCCCCTTTCACAGTGAAGAAACAGGCATAGCAAAGTCCCCCGAGTGCCCAGGGACTCCCCAGCCCCATCCCCCAGCCTCAGGGAGGCAGCTCAGAAAGTCAGGCATGTGAGGAGAGACTCAGAAGAGCAGGCCCAACTCGGTGCAGTCAGGGTGGGCTTCCTGGAGGAGGGGGACAATGGACAGCACAGAGGAATGGACCGCACATCGCACTGGGTGCAATGGAGGCGAACAGAATGCTGCAAGTGGGAAGGACAGGTGTGGCGGCAGCGCTGCTGGGGTGGGCGAACTGCTGTCCCCCTCTGAGTGGGTGCGCCCCCACCACCCCTCCCAGGGTCCTTCCTGCTGAGCCCCTGGGACCACCAGCCTCCAGGCCCCACGCCTTCCATCCTCCTGGCCCAGGCAGTTTCTGACTTCATCCCCATCAAAAGTGCTGATCCTGCTCGTTTTGTCTCTCTCGTTGTGGGAGAGTTAGCAACACTGGTTTCCTCTCAGAGCCACCTTCTGACTGTACTGAAACAGTATCGCTGCGGCTCCCTCTGCTTCCCCAGAGCCTGAGGGGGTTGCGGGCAGTGTCTCAAAACCCTTTCAGGCCGGGCACGGTGGCTCAAGCCTGTCATCTCAGCACTTTGGGAGGCCGAGGCGGGAGGACTGCTTGAGCCCGGGAGTTTGAAACCAGCCTGGGCAACATAGTGAGACCCCATCTCTACAAAAAATAAAAATAGGCCGGGCACGGTGGCTCGTGCCTGTAATCCCAGCACTTTGGGAGGCCAAGGCGGGTGGATCACCTGAGGTCAGGAGTTTAAGACTGTCCTGGCCAACATGGTGAAACCTCGTCTCTACGAAAAATAAAAAAAATTAACTGGGTGTGGTGGTGGGCACCTGTAATCCCAGCTACTCAGGAGGCTGAGGCAGGAGAATTGTTTGAACCTGGGAGGCAGAGGCTGCAGTGAGCCGAGATCGCACCACTGCACTCCAGGCTGGGCAACAAGAGCGAAACGCCGTCTCAATAACTAATTAAGTTGGGCATGGTGGTGCCGTCTCTGGAGGCTGAGGTGGGAGGATCACTTGAGCCCAGGAGTTGAAGGCTGCAGTGAGCTATGACCACACCACTGTCCTCCAGCCTGGTGACAGAGTGAGACTATCTCAAAAAAGGAATAGAAAAAAAAAAAAAAAAACTTTAAGGCCCCAGGGGTGGGCTAGGGATGTCTGGGACCCTGAGAAGACCACATCTGGTCAGTGGTTGCCCAGACAATAGGTGAAGAGACCCCTGCCTCCCACACTGACACTCATGCCCCCCACCAGGTCAGACCCCCAGCCCAGTCAACAAGAGTGAAGCCACAGCAGGCCCCTCAGGGCCCACCTGGATCCTCCCGAGGCATCTGGAGGCAGGGTGCGCGAGTCGGCAGTCAGCTGAGACCTCGTCTCCCCTTAGGCCAGGGTCTTGGGAGCCTAGGAAGGGTCATTCGGCCGGAAGGAAATTGTAGGCAGTTTCCACAATCTGAATCTTGGCTTCCCTTCCTGTTGGACCGGGAGCTGGTGGCAGAGGGTCTGCAGTTGCGCTCTGGGCTGACACAGTGGGGGCTTGAAACCATGGAAATGTCTCCTCTCGTTTCTGTAAGATAAAAGTTCCAAGTCAAGGTATGGGCAGGGAGGGCTCCATGGAGGGGGCGGGGGGTATCTTCAGTTTGCGGGGGCTATGGCCAGTCCTTGGCTTGTAGAGGTAACACTGCAGTCTCTGTCTCTGTCCCCACAAGGCGGCTTCTGTGTGTATGTCTCTTTTTTTTCTTCTTTTTTTGAGACACGGTCTTGCTCTGTCACCCAGGCTGGAGTGCAGTGGTGTCATCATAGCTCACTGCAGCCTCCACCTCCCGGGCTCAGGTGATCCTCCCACTTCAGCCTCCCGAGTAGCTAAGACTACAGGTGTTCACCACCACACCTGGCTAGTTTAGTTGTTGTTGTTTTTAGTAGAGATGGGGTCCTGCTATGTTGTCCAGGCTGGTCTCAAACTCCTGGGCTCCAGTGATCCTCCCGCCTCAGATTCCCAGAGTACTAGGATTACGGGTGTGAGCCACTGCAGCCTACCATTATGGCACTTTTTTTTTTTTTTTGGGTTTTTTTTTTTGTGGAAATGGAGTCTTGGTCGTGGGCCTAAGGCTGGAGTGCAGTGGCATAATGTTGGCTCACTGCAACCTCCGCCTCCTGGGTTCAGGCAATTCTCCTCGCCTCAGCCTCCCCAGTGGCTGGGATTACAGAGGTGTGCGCCACTGCACCTGGGGTTATGCAGCATTCTTTTTTTTTTTTTTTTGAGACGCGAGTCTCGCTCTGCCGCCCAGGCTGGAGTGCAGTGGCCGGATCTCAGCTCACTGCAAGCTCCGCCTCCCGGTTCCCGCCATTCTCCTGCCTCAGCCTCCCCGAGTAGCTGGGACTACAGGCGCCGCCACCTCGCCCGTAGTTTTTTGTATTTTTAATAGAGACGGGCTTTCACCGTGTTAGCCAGGATGGTCTCGATCTCCCGACCTCTGATCCGCCCGTCTCGGCCTCCCAAAGTGCTGGATTACAGGCTTGAGCCACCGCGCCGGCCTTTTTTTTTTTAAGATGGAGTTTTGGCCGGTGCAATGACTCAAGCCTGTAATCCCAGCACTTTGGGAGGCCAAGACGGGCGGATCCCGAGGTCAGGAGATCGAGACCATCCTGGCTAACGACGCTGAAAACCCCGTCTCTACTAAAAATACAAAAAACTAGTCGGGCGCGGTAGCAGGCGGCCTGTAGTCCAGCTACTCGGGAGGCTGAGGCAGGAGAATGGCGTAAACCGAGGAGGCGGAAGCTTGCAGTGAGCTGAGATCTGGCCACTGGCATTCCAGCCTGGGCGACAGAGCGAGACTCCGTCTCAAAAAAAAAAAAAGAAAAAAAAAGGACAGTTGTGTTTGGCTGCTGTCACCCAGGCTGGAGTGCAGTGGTGTGCGATCTCGGCTCACTGCAGTCTCCACCTCCCAGGTTCAAGCAATTCTTCTGCCTCAGCCTGCCGAGTACCTGGCACTACAGGTGCCTGCCACCACGCCTGGCCAATTTTTTGTATTTTTAGTAGAGACAGGGTTTCACCATGTAGGGCAGGCTGGTCTTGAACTCCTGACCTTGTGACCCGCCCGCCTTGGCCTTCCAAAGTGCTGGGATTACAGGGGTGAGCAATGGCACCCCAGTTTTTTTAGTTGGAGTCTTGCTCTGTTGTCTGGGCTGGGGTGCAGTTGTGTGATCTCGGCTCATTTTTTGTATTTTTAGTAGAGAGAGGGTTTCACAATGTTGGCCAGGCTGGTCTGGAACTCGTGACCTCAAGTGATCCGCCTGCCTCAGCCTCCCAAAGTGCTGGTATTACATGTATGAGCCACCGTGCCCAGCTAACCCTGCCTATTAATAGTATCAACGCTGGATATTAGGGTCCAGCTTATGAACTTGGAAACATTCACACCCCAGCCATCACACTCTGTGGTTCCAGGTGAACATCAATTATGGCGCACACCTTTCAACCTAAAACAGGGTCCCCTTGCCGTCTTGCTTTTATGCCAAACCCTGGAGCCCAGAGGGGAAACTGAGGCCCGGGGAAGAAGGGACGTGGTGTCTGAGGATGAAGTGGTGTTGGGCACAGGCTGGGAGGTAGGGACTCCCTCACTGGCTCTGCATCCCGCATGCCCAGCGGGGCTGAACTGCGCAGGGGCTTCGGGTCACCTTGTCCTTCCACTCCTTCCCCGACAGGCTGCAAGATCAAGGCCCTGCGGGCCAAGACAAACACTTACATCAAGACCCCAGTGCGGGGCGAGGAGCCGGTCTTCATCGTGACGGGCCGGAAGGAGGATGTGGAGATGGCCAAGCGTGAGATCCTGTCGGCGGCCGAGCACTTCTCCATTATCCGCGCCACTCGCAGCAAGGCCGGGGGTCTGCCCGGCGCCGCCCAGGGCCCGCCCAACCTCCCCGGACAGACCACCATCCAGGTGCGCGTGCCCTACCGGGTGGTGGGGCTGGTGGTGGGGCCTAAGGGCGCCACCATCAAGCGCATCCAGCAGCGGACGCACACCTACATCGTGACGCCCGGGCGTGACAAGGAGCCGGTGTTCGCGGTCACCGGGATGCCCGAGAACGTGGACCGCGCGCGCGAGGAGATCGAGGCGCACATCACACTGCGCACCGGCGCCTTCACGGATGCGGGCCCCGACAGTGACTTCCACGCCAACGGCACCGACGTCTGCCTGGACCTGCTCGGGGCAGCCGCCAGCCTCTGGGCCAAGACCCCAAACCCAGGACGACGGCCCCCCACGACCACGGCCGGCCTCCGCGGGGACACGGCCCTGGGCGCCCCCAGCGCCCCCGAGGCCTTCTACGCGGGCAGCCGTGGCGGCCCCTCTGTGCCGGACCCAGGCCCCGCCAGCCCCTACAGCGGTTCCGGCAACGGGGGCTTCGCCTTCGGCGCGGAGGGTCCTGGTGCCCCGGTGGGGACGGCCGCCCCCGACGACTGCGACTTCGGCTTCGACTTCCTGGCGCTGGACCTGACGGTGCCTGCCGCGGCCACCATCTGGGCGCCCTTCGAGCGCGCCACCCCCCTGCCCGCCTTCAGCGGCTGCTCCACGGTCAACGGAGCCCCGGGACCACCCGCCGCCGGCGCCCGGCGCAGCAGTGGGGCCGGGACCCCCCGCCACTCGCCCACGCTGCCCGAGCCCGGCGGCCTCCGCCTGGAGCTCCCGCTGTCCCGCCGGGGCGCCCCGGACCCGGTGGGCGCGCTGTCCTGGCGACCCCCGCAGGGCCCCGTATCCTTCCCGGGCGGCGCCGCCTTCTCCACGGCCACGTCGCTGCCCAGCAGCCCCGCGGCCACCGCCTGCGCCCCCCTGGACTCTGGCGCCTCCGAGAACAGCCGCAAGACCCCCTCGGCGTCCTCGGCCCCCGCCCAGGCCCTGGCCCGGGAGTGCGTGGTGTGCGCCGAGGGCGAGGTGATGGCCGCGCTGGTCCCCTGCGGCCACAACCTCTTCTGCATGGACTGCGCCGTCCGCATCTGCGGCAAAAGCGAGCCCGAGTGTCCCGCCTGCCGCACGCCGGCCACCCAGGCCATTCATATCTTTTCCTAGAGGGAGGACCGCCACGTGGCCGAGGCCTGCCCGCCACCGGGGCCATCTGCGGGCGCCAGGGCTGGGCGCGGGAGACGGGGCGGGACCCGGGGTGGGAGAGGGACGGGGGGCGAGGGGCGGGAGCGGGGGGCAGGGGGGTGGGCGGCGGCCAGTGTTTACAGTTGAGCTTTAACTGCCGTCCCAGGCGTGGAGACGGAGACCCCGCAGCCCGGCGCCTCAACCCTTCCACGACAGTATTGAGTGGTCAGGTTACAATAAACCGGAGAGAAAAGGTCCGCTTGCACTTTTTTTTTTAGTTTTTATTTTTAGACACCCCTCCCCTCCAGGGTGATCTTTAAAAAACAAAACAAAAATTACGATTTTTCCAGCGCTCAGTGTTTTCCTTTTGTCCGAAGCCGTTTCTGATTTGACTTTTCTCGCCGGCCGGTCTCAAGGCCGCACAGACGTTCCAGAGGAGGAGGGCGACATTTTTACTCCGTTTTTGGGGCTAAACATTTATGCTTTTGTACATCAACCATGCGCGGCCAGAGGGGGACGGGGCGGGGGGCGAGGGGCGTTCCAATCAGAAATTTCTAACTTTCTGTTAATTATTAATCCCCTTTCTACTGCGGTTTCTGTTGTCATTTTTTAAATTTTTTAATTTTTTTTTTTTTACTTTTACTTTTTACCTCTTGTGTATATGTAGGGAATTTATAGGGAAATATGTACTTTATGGAATAAATTTTAAGAACTAAAATATATTTTATTTTGAATAAAGTAATGGGCCTTTCATCTTGCAGCTAAATCACTGATTATATATTTGCTGAGCTGATTTAAGGGTTAAAAAAAAATTGTATCAAGAGTTTTATTTTTTGACTTCAAAGCCTTCTTAATAAAGCCTCTTTTCTACATGTGAGCACACGGCTTCAGCGTGGTGTGGGGGGTGGGCACCAGGAGGGGCGATCCTGGGGCAGGGGACACTGGAATCCAGCCCCTCGCCCCCCAGTTCCCTGGTCCAGGCTCTCACCCCGCCCAGGCACTGTCTGTTGTTCCAGACGAAGGAATTGGGTCTGTGGGGGAGGGTCTAGCCGGGTTCCTCGTGAGCAGCCCTCAGGTGCCCCCCATCCCGGTGGGTGTTCAACCATGGGCTCCACACAGGACGGGGACCCAGGCTGTCTTTCCTCGGGGAGAAAGGGGACGCTGGCTGTCTTTCCTCGGGGACATCTGCCCAGCTCTCCAGGTGTGTGGGATCCATCCCAGCAGACAGTCCACCAGTCGTGCAAATGGGGAAACTGAGGCCTGGAAAGGCTCATCCCAGGTTTGACCATAATGTCTCCTGGTCTGTGAAGGACGTTTGAGCCATGGTCATCCCCCCAGCGCTCTGGGAACCATGACACATGGGGCCACCAGATGTAGCTCTTCAGGGCTGGCATTGAGACCACAGACTGGACCCACGGTAAACCATCCCAGCGCCATCCCAAAACGGCGAGGAAGCCCCTGGGTGGCAGGATGGGCCGCTCTGGGGTCAAGGCAGGGGCCAGGCACACGGGCTGCGGGCTTGGGGAGTGGACCTTGTGGAGGGGCCTGGGGCTTAGAACCCACTAGGGAAAGAGAAGCACGTGTGGAAGAGAGGCCTGGAGAGCTTCCAGAAGGAGGCGAGGAGGCTCAGAGGGAGAGGCTCAGAGACGGACACCTGAGTTCAAGCGTAGCCCTGCCCAGGCTCCTGGCCTGGAACTCCCTCCTCTGCAAAACGCGGGCTGTTTCTAGGCCCAGACTCCTGCTTGGTGAAATTGAGGGTCGTGTCACTGGTTGAATGGTGTCCCCCCACCAAAATAAGAGGTCCCCCAGAAAGTGAAAATGTGATTTTATTTGGAAAAAGGGTCTTTGCAGATATAATTAAGGATCTCAAGATGAAATCATCCTGAATTAGACCAAGACTTAAATCCAATCATGAGTGTTTTTATAAGACAGGGACAGGGACCGGGTGCGGTGGCTCACGCCTGTAATCCTAGCACTTTGGGAGGCCGAGGTGGGTGGATCATGAGGTCGGGAGATCGATACTATTCTGACACAGTGAAACCCCGTCTCTATCAGAAGAAATACAAAAAATTAGCCAGGCCTGGTGGCGGGCACCTGTAGTCCCAGCTAGTTGGGAGGCTGAGGCAGGAGAATGGTGTGAACCCGGGAAGCAGAGCTTGCAGTGAGCCGATATCGTGGCACTGCACTCCAGCCTGGGCGACAGAGCAAGACTCCGTCTCAAAGAAAATAAAAAGAGAGAGAGAGGGAGAGAGGGAAGGATGTGCGATTCAGACACACACGGGAAATGGAACAGCCTGGGAAGACAGAGACAGAGGCTGGAGCTGTGTGGCCACAAGCCAAAGACGCCTGGAGCCCCCAGAAGCTGGAGGAGGGGAGAAGGCTCCGTCTCTGGAGCCTCTGGCGGCAGTGCGGTCCTGCCCACGCCCTGACTCCGGACCTGTGGGCTCTAGGACAGAGAATCCCTTTGCACCATTTAAGCCCCGGGCTTGTGGGTACTTCCTCATGGCAGCCCCGGGGAACTGCAGTAGGAGATGGACTCTTTTTTTTGAGACAGAATCTTGCTCTGTCACCAGGCTGGAGTGCAGTGACACGATCTCAGCTCACTGCAACCTCCACCTCCCGGGTTCCAGAGATTCTCCTGCCTCAGCCCCCTGAGTAGCTGGGATTACAGGTGCCCGCCACCACGCCCAGCTAATTTTTGTATTTTTAGTAGAGATGGGGTTTCACCAAGTTGTCCAGGATGGTCTCAATCTCTTGGCCTCATGATCCGCCTGACTCGGCCTCCCAAAGTGCTGGGATCACAGGTGTGAGTCACCGTGCCCGGCCGGGAGGGACCCTTAACCTGGGTCTGGCCACAGCTGTGAAGAGCTGCTGGGTTCGGCTGCAGGCCACACACCCTGTGACCTGGGCTGACTTCATGCCTCAGCCAGACTGCAGAAGGCCTCAGGGAGGTGTGGGTGTGCGGACGCCCCCTCCCCTCTCTGCAACTGGGTCATGGAGAGAATGAGAGCAGCCCCCACGGGGTCAAGGGATTAAAGATGGGACAAATGTCAAGGGGGTGGAGGAGAGTCTTTTGGAGGGATATGGGGGTTTCTGCAGCCCCAGGGTTCCGATAGAGTGGGCAGAAGGTATGATTTTGTCTGGTGCTGCAAGGAGTTGGGGGGTATCATGGAGCAGCTCTGCTTCTGGGGGGAGCCCCAAGTGGGGTCAGTTTGTCATCTAACTACTGGGGAGGCTGGGGAGAGGAGAGGCACCTCCAAACTGAGAGGAAGCCAGACGTGGTGGCACACACCCGTAGTCTCAGCTGCTCGGGAGGCTGAGGCGGGAGGATCACTTGAGCAAAGGAGGTCGAGGCTGCAGTGAGCCGAGACTACACCACTGCACTCCAGCCTGGGTGACAGAGCAAGACTCTGTCAGCAACAACAACAACAAAAAATTGCAAAAGGAGAGGATATGACAGGGCTAGGTGCAAAGACCCTGGGAGGTGAGGTGGGGAATTGCCCGGCGGAAGGGAATGACAAAGTGTGAGGCTGCTGGGTGACACGCCAGGGCAGGGCGCAAAACTTGACTGGCCAGGACCTGCTCTAGGGGTTTCCAAGAGATGCAGTGATAGGGGAGTTGAGGCCTCCCAGCCAGGGGTCAGGGGTGTCACCGTGTTGGTCCCAGCACTTCCAGAGACATCCAAGGGATGAGCTCACTCCCACTGCAGGGTTGCTCAGCTGACACATGAGAGTCTGAAGTGTCTGTGGCTTTTGGGGACACCCCAAGAGTTGGCCAGAGATGGATTCTGTTTTTTTTGTTGTTGTTTTTTGTTTTTGTTTTTTTTGAGACGGAGTCTCTGTCGCCCAGGCTGGGGTGCAGTGGCCGGATCTGAGCTCACTGCAAGCTCCGCCTCCCGGGTTCACGCCATTCTCCTGCCTCAGCCTCCCGAGTAGCTGGGACTACAGGCGCCCACCACCTCGCCCGGCTAGTTTTTTTTTTGTATTTTTTAGTAGAGATGGGGTTTCACCGTGTTCGCCAGGATGGTCTCGATCTCCTGACCTCGTGATCCACCCGTCTCGGCCTCCCAAAGTGCTGGGATTACAGGCTTGAGCCACTGAGCCCAGCCCTGTTTTTGTTTTTTAAGAGACAGGGTCTTGCTCTGTTGCCCTGTCTGGAGTGCGGTGGTGCAATCATAACTCACAGCAGCCTTGACCTCCTGGGCTCAAATGATCCTCCCACCTCAGCCTTCCTAGTGGTTGGAACCACAGGCACATAGCATTGTGCCCAGCTAATTTTTTGTATATTTTGTAATTTTTTGTAGATCTTGTAGAGACGGGGATTCTCCATGTTTGCCCAAGCAGGTCTCGAATTCCTGGCCTCAAGTGATCCTCCCACCCCAGCCTCCCACAGTGCTGGGGTTACAGGCATGAGACACTGCATCTGGCCCAGTCTGGACTATTAAAGTTGCTGCCTGAGGCCCTGGATCCAGTTGTGCCTGAAAGCCAACTTTCTTTTCATCGTAAGAGCTAATAGGAGTTGGAATAACTCAAACTCTAACCACCTACAGGGACCACATTTCTAACCAAGGAGCTGGAAGAATTTTCTAGAAGGACTGGGGCAGCAATGGCAAAGCAAGGATCCCGTGCATTGGCCTCTCCATGTCTTGGCACAGCTCAGGGAAGCCAAGGGCTGAGGCCTGGCCTGTGTCCTGGGCACAAAGTCTCATTGCTATTGTCACTCACCTCCTTTGACTCATGGACTTGGCATGGTGGAGTGACCCTAGTCCAATGTCTGCTGAAAACTCCCTGTTCCAGGTCTCATCAGACAAGGGGGATGCTGAGGAGCAGGGCTGTGGTTCTCCCATCTGTAGGCTCCATGTGGGAAGGACACACCAGCCACACATTGTGTGCCCCTTGGGATGTCCCCAGGGCAGAGACTGTCCCCCATGTCCACCAAGCATGAGGAAAATGGTGAACTCTAGAGACAGATGCCTGAGCCCCTCTCTGCCACGCCACCTTCCTGGGCTGTCCCCGGGCGTGTCACTTCACCTTCTCAACCTTGGTTTCTGCATCGGCAGGATGGGGAATTGGGCGCTTAAACGGGGGTAAGCCACCAGCTGGTGAGAAACAGAGCCTAGCACAGGGCGAGCACTCAGTAAGAGCTGGCCCGCTATAGGTGCCCTCGCAATCACTGACCTCAGATGCTTACATTAGGAGGGGATGGATGGGTGGGTGGATGGGTTGATGGATGGATGGATGGATAGATGGATGAGTAGATGGGTGGGTGGACGGGTGAGTGGACGGGTAGGTGAATTGGATGGATGACTGGGTGGTTGGATGGGAGATGGGAGTGGGTGGGTGGACGAATGGATGGATGGATGGATGGATGGATGGATAGATGGATGAGTAGATGGGTGGGTGGACGGGTGAGTGGACGGGTAGGTGAATTGGATGGATGACTGGGTGGTTGGATGGGAGATGGGAGTGGGTGGGTGGACGAATGGATGGATGGATGGGTGGGTGGGTAGATGGATGGATGATTAGATGGGTAGATGGATGGATGTGTTGGTGGGTGGGTGGATAAATGAATGGAGGGGTGGGTGGGTGAATGGATGGGTGGGTGAATGGATGGATGGGTGGGTGGATGGGTTGATGGATGGGTTGGTGGGCAGATGGATGAATGGGTGGGTGGGTGGATGGATGAATGGGTGGACAGGTGGACAGGTGGACAGGTGGGTGGATGGGTTGATGGATGGATGGATGGGTGGGTGGGTGGGTGGATGGATGGATAGATGGGTGGATGGGCAGGTGAGTGAATGGATGGGTGGATGGATGGCTGGTTGAGTGAATGGATGGGTGGGTGGATGGATGGGTGGATGAGTGAACAAGTGGATGG